GTCTATCTGGGAAATAAAAAAAGAAAAGAATATATTTTTGCTATATTTCTGCAATACATGCACATTTCCCCACGTTTTATCCCTTTAAAAACACCAAGTACAGAAAAATATCTGTTCATCAGACATTCTAGTATACTAGTTTACTCCTCCCTCCCCCCCATCCCCCCCACCCCCCAGAAAAAACCCCCCAAAATGCCTTGATTTCCAACAGCCTGCCCACACACTGTGTGTAGGGAAACAGGGAAAGGTCTCTGGGATGATGTAGTTCTAGGGGGGATGGATAATATAGGAACTGACCGTTCAGCAGCTGCCCCACAAGAATTTGACATATGGTAATGATGTTACAGGTAGTAATAAAAGCTGTTTCTCTCTACAAGAACAAAGTAAAAGCAAAAATAATGCTGAGACAATCCATTGGGGGGCCTTTTGTGGAAAAAAAAATTAAGCAAAAAAGATTGTCATATTTCATTTTGATGCTGGAAGACTGCAAAGTTTTACTCAATGGTTAAGCATTGTTGTGCACTAATTCCTCACCTGTCATCTTCTTCCTCTACTAGGGGACCAGGCAAAAAACTTCTTTTTACAATCAGGGCTTCCTCCAGCCGTTCTCGCTGAAATATGGTAAGAGATTTTCATTATTACCTAGACATTCCTGTAACAACAGTAAGCCACCGTGTTTGTGTCTATAGTGCTAAAAAACCTGCAGAACAACTCCAACCAACACTAAAAAAAATAAAATTGGCTAGACTAGGGCTTAAATACGAGATAGTTACTGTAAGAGTGAGAGCATCTCCGTGTGTGACTATGGTCTATATGGTCACCTTTCTGCAAGAACCTGGTCACTGTGTTTCAGGTTTATTCTCACTCTGTGATGTTAAACCATTAAAGTATATATGCGAACCAAAACGTTTTAGTCTTATATACTGTAGAATATGGAATCAAGATTCCCAATTGACTTTTTTGCTGTGTCCTATTGGGGAGATTTCTCTACATTTTCATTCCTGTAGATACAACAAGAGATGAGGGAGGTACTTAGGGGGGATGCAAGCGTAAAAACCCAACAAAGCCTGGAGTTGACCTTTGATCTTTTGGTCACTTTTACTTCTTCATAGTTGTCAGTGGTGGATGGTCACCAAAGGGCCCCTGTGCAAGAACCTTTGTTGAGCATCCCCATTCAACTAGACCACATTTCTTTAATGTGCATACATAGATAGGTGCAGATGAAGCGTAATCTTTGCATTGCCCTTAACTCTTTTCAGGGGCCATAATGTTTAGCTAGGTTTAGACATAGTGGTATCATGATGGATCAACTGCACACCATACAGTGGTTAGACCTCATTTGGGAGAAACCCCAAACCTATACTGCTACTTAATTTGTGTAAAAGAGCAAGTAATAATATCTACATGTATATGCCAGAGTTTCAGGGCCTTTTCATTACTCTGATGCTCGGGGGGAAGACGCTGGAATTCTCCTGGGCTCGGGCTGTACTGAAACTTTAATCTTCGTATTAATATTCATTTCTCACTCTGCAGACACTGCCGATCGCATTGATATTTGATTTATTGCATGTTTAATTCATGAATGTTCTTACACGTAATGGATTCATTATTTCCATCCGTGTTTGTGGGAAGAATTCAGTGCTGCAGATAGACCTGCACTTTACACATTTTTATTGTAAATGTTTGCTGAACCCACCTTTTCCATTTGATTTTGTAGTTGATTAATGTCTCAAAGTGAACTCTCCACAACAGAAAAAAAATGCATAATCCATTTCTCATTCATCTTTGCAAAGTAACTGTTATGTATGTATTAAAAATGCATTTTCCTTTCCAAAGAACTTGGCTACACCAATTCTCTGTAGCGGATTTGGCTTGACATTCAGATAATGACATGGTGCTAAGACAATTCAGCAGAGTTCCTGGTCTACTTCTCCTCCCCAAATTAATACACTGAATACCCTTAATGAGCGAAGTCTTACAACCCTCATTCCACTTGCTTAATTTTATTATTTAAAAAAGTGACTATATTCCTATCCACATGTCTGTACTCAATAAAATTAAATATGTGTATTTACTCTGCCATTGTCATATTGAGTGTGTTTATGTTTTTTTATAGTGCAGACTTCTTGTACTCGCATCCATTGACATTAGTACTTGGCCCCAGACAAGTGTGCAGTCATTTTCGCACACATATACAGTCTTTCTGTGGTCAGTTCTGGTTGAAATTCAAGTAAAGCCCTAATATGTTTTTGGTTTGTGGAAGGAGACCGGAACACTCAGAGTAACCTTTCACATTCAAAGGGAGACCATACGTACCCACACAGATCATGTCCTATAAGCCTATGTGTGGTGGGGCACTCTGCAAGGGTTAACTGCTCATTAATGTCTACGGGACCTGTGTAAAGGACTTTTACTTACTCCCACCGGCTCCAAAATTGGTGCCTGCAGCCTCTTCCCTCCGCTCTTCTGGCAGACAGAGGCCAGCTGAAATCATCATGTACAATGCAGGGCCTGTAGAGGTGAGTGTCTACTGCTGGGGGTGCAGGGATCAGGTAAGTAAAAGTCCTTTACACAGGTCCCCTAGACATTACCAACCAGTTAATGAAATGTTTTTTTTAGACTTTAAAGACTACCTAACCTATAGAAGCTAAATTCATAAAGGCAAGCAGAGGAGAAAGCACTTGGCACCAGTTGTCACCAGTTATTTTGGTAGAGGCTGAGCTTTTTTTCCTCATGTCTCAGCTGCCCCATTGATTACTGTTGGGAGGGATATTTAAAAAGAAGCAGAAAAGTTGGAGAAAACACAGATACACAGAAGCAGGGAGATACTTGCAGTGCAACTCCCTTCCCAGCAAGGAGAACAGTGAGCAGCACAGTCATGACATCACCAAATCTCACGTCAAACCTCTTGAGACTAGCAGTCAGAGGCAGCAGTGCTTTTGATGGTCTCACATTGCAGATTTACAGCTATTAGTCTACAGAACAGTGCCTAAAATATATGTCCAGGTGCGCTGCTATTTTTCCACGAGGAAGACGAGGCGCATTTTTCAAAATACTGTTTGGCTCAAACGTTTCTAGATATACCCTATAAGACCCAAAGTGCTGCAGGGCCAGGGTGCTTAACCGAGACAGGCGTTTGTATGATAAAATGGACTGGTGACATTTTAGCCTCGAACTGGTGATTAATGTCATTTTTTACTTTCTGTGCAGTTTTGATTATCAGTTTTCCTTTCATGCAGGGCTCTGTCCGACCTCAACAAAGATGGCAAGATGGACCAGTTGGAGTTCTCCATCGCTATGAAATTCATCAAACTCAAGCTGCAAGGCCAGAATTTGCCAATGATCCTTCCACCTGTAATGAAGCAGCCACCCGTCTTTTCGCCACTAATGTCCTCCCGCTACGGTATTTCTTTCTAATTGCATTATGTAAACTGTTCATCCTCCCCATCTGGTTCCAAAGTGTTATTGTTAAAGGATAATGTCACATTCACTAAAAAGAATGACTTGTTCTTTTGCTACAGAAGAAAGTTTATAAATTATTGTCATGAAAATTTAATTTTGCAATTTGCTGCCCTCAGAGATATGGTAAAAGTGCCAGTAAATGCAAATGTTGATTCCTTGCAACGTAGCAACCTGGGTACATTCTGTACACTCTATACATTATACAGAAAGCTCATTTCTTGCTTGTAATTGATTCCTCTTGAGAAATGACCTTCTAAAATGCGTGCACACCTAAAGGGATTCCGATGAGGCTCCTTTTATTTGTTTGACACTTAGGGGGCTTTTTTCAATATCAATGCATTGCTATTGGTCCAGCAAAAACCTGTATGTATATTAGTTCTGCACAATTCAATCAGCTGTTGCGAAAATTGGGGCAAAATCGAATGCTCTTAAAGGATAATTAAACCCTCGCGTGTTTTTGCATATATCTTCTGCTAGCAAGCAGTATATATAACATTTAAAAAATAGGTTTAAACTTACCTCTGTGTCCACTGCGCGCTCCCGTCTGAAGATTCTCGGGCGGCCGCAAAGGATGATGGGGTGAGCGCATGCGGAGTAGAGATCTTCGGCCCGCACACGAGGAGAGACGCAGGGTAAGTCAATGCAGCAGCGTGCACCCGCACAGACTCCGTGGGACAGGGAGAGACCGGAGTCAGCGCTGGATCAGAGACCGGCACCAGCACTGGAGGGACTCCTGAAAACTACTGGAAAGAAGAAGATGATTGGATCAAGAGGCATCATTTAAGGTAAGTCCTTAAAGCAGCATGGGCGGGGGGAAATCTTTGATTTTAATGTCACTTTAATATTGGGCCATCTTGGCCCAATTTAGGAATCCATATTTTATACCTGGTAGGGCTAGGGGGATCCTGTAAAACACTGGAGTAGCCTGAGCTACTATAGTGCTTTACAGCAATCTTCCAGGTGCCTGTACAGGGTTGTGCTGAGTGACTACCCATCTGCTATTAAAACAGAGGTTTAACTTGCACGGCAAAGCAGCCATTCAGAGAACACCTTGTATTCATTGATAAAAAATAACAGGTGTTCTCATCAATGATTTCAAGGGCTGTGTAATCTCACCAGGGGTTCCGGGCGGTCTCCGTGGGTGTGGGTGGCGTGGATTCACAGGAAGGAGATTTTCGGCCGGCACTGTAAACAGGCGCCGTGATTCACAGGAAGGCTACGGGGACCTCGGCAGCCTTCCAGTGAAGTCCGGTGTCTGCTTACAAATTTAAAGCTGCGGGAGAGGTGCGAGGGCCACATGAAATGGCCTGGCAGACCAGATTTGGCCAGTGGCCTTATGTTTGACACGTGTGCCCTAAGGCATAGGAATAAAGCGCCGCTCCTCTATGGGTTTATTAGGGGAAAGAGAGCTGGGTGCTCTCTGGAAGGAGCGTATCCTCGCGCCAACCAAGCAGGCATATAGTAAAGGAGGAAACCAGCCGCACACTTAGGGCAGGGCTCGGTGTTACTCATGAGTTTTCAATAAACTGATTCAGCGTAGAACGGAATGCGGCTGGATTCTTCCTTTTTGATATTTTTCCTATTCACTACTGACCATAATAACTGAAGAACATTTAACCAGAAAAGAAAATAGCCGTAAGAACATTCGACTTTACACCATTCTTACAGCAGCTGTTTAATTTGCACAGAACATTTGCACGTGTAGTTTCCCTGCACGAAAGCTATGGTATTTTTTTATGAATAGACCCCATGGACTGCCTTGCCCTAGACAACATGTTTAGGTCACAGTTCTATGAGGGGATGATTACATAGCTTTTGATCTTCAGACTGTTACTTCCTGTCTTTAGACCTATTTAGATATGCTGATTGTTATCGCATTGGTGAAAGCTTGTGGTTTGTATGGCTTGGTGTATGGTCAGAAGGGAGTGTCCTGTTTTTATAGCATGACAGCAGAAACTGGGTGAGTCACCTAACTTCTTAGAGGAACTACTGTGTGAATAAAAGTTATCAGTGAAACATTGTGTACTGATGCAGTCTTGTGCTTTGCATTTTTTTGAGGTCCTTAAGGTCAGTTTATAATCCTTTTTGGTTGTACTCTGTCCTGGAACCTTGAACCTTTTAACACTCAAAATATAGTTTGCACGTTTTGTAGGATTCTATGTACCCACATGTTCCAGCATGTGGGTAGGCAGGCAGCAAAAGCAACTCAGCAACTTGTTTTCAGCCTATAAACTCATCAGCAATAACAAAACACAATTATACTCTTTTGGCTTTTAAAAAGACTCTTACCACTTTATAAAGTAGACAATACAAATATGTCCCGTATGTGTAAACCATTGTATATCTCTATTTAATAGAATAGACATTACAAACTGGTGGTTTTGGCATTTTTATATTTCTTTTGAAGCATTGTAGTGTATATATTTATAAGTATTAGACCAGTGGTCCCCAAATTGTAGCCTGTGGGTCGGATGTGACCTCTTGTTTGCACTTAACTGGCCACTGTTTCTCCCACTGACCCCAACAATACCTTACACTGACACCACTGATGTGGCATTTTTTCTTCCAACGATAGAGCATTATTCTCCCACTGGCACCATTGGTGGGACACTATTCTCCTGGCACCCTTGGTGGCACACTATTCTCCCACTGGCACCCTTGGTGGCACACTATGCTCCCACTGACACCATTGGTGGGACACTGTTCTCCCACTGGCACCATTGGTGGGACACTGTTCTCCCACTGGCACCATTGGTGGGACACTGTTCTCCCACTGGCACCATTGGTGGCACACTATTCTCTCACAGGCACCATTGGTGGCACACTATTCTCCCACTGGCACCATTGGCGGGACACTAGTCTCCCACTGGCACCATTGGCGGGCCATTAGTCTCCCACTGACACCATTGGCGGGCCATTAGTCTCCTACTGGCCTCATTGGCGGGCCATTAGTCTCCCACTGGCCCTCATTGACGGTCCATTAGTCTCCCACTGGCCCTCATTGACGGTCCATTAGTCTCCCACTGGCCCTCATTGGCGGTCCATTAGTCTCCCACTGGCCCTCATTGGCGGGACATTAGTCTCCCACTGGCACCATTGGCGGGACATTAGTCTCCCACTGGCACCATTGGCGGGACATTAGTCTCCCACTGGCACCATTGGCGGGACACTAGTCTCCCACTGGCCCCAATGGTGAGGTAACATGCTCTCTCTGCTCCAGCAGTCTAAGGATCCTTGAGTCTTCCTGTCCAGTACACTGTATATTGGACCTATGGATGCTGAGGGACATTTTATTGCCAGAACAGAGATGGAAACAAGCTGGAAGGAGAGCTCTAACAGCCAGCCAGCTGTGAGGTTCGGGTGAGTATAACGTTGTTTTAGTTTTGAAAATAACCTGGAAAGTTTTCTTACAGGTTTTATTGCTGTCTTTGCTTCCATTGAGGTTGTTTGCTCACCTTGTGTGTGGTCACCAGGACACATTGTCTTAAAATGTATGTTTGTTACTTTCTGCGTGTGCGTGTATTAACAAGCCATACATAGGTTGTGGCTGTAAATAGCAGAAGTGTATGTAGCATTTGTAATGCAAGATAGAAATTCTCGGGACAAATACAAGCCATTGTTTTACGTTTTGTGTTTAGGAATGGGAAGTATGCCAAACTTGTCCATGCCACCATCTATGCCCTCGCTCTTACCCATTGCACCCACCACTACGCTGACCTCATTGGGCTCTCTGCCACCGTTGGCTATGTCTAGTCCCTTGATGTCTTCTGTCGGCTCATCGTCAACATTGCCAAATGGAACATCCAGTCTCTTGTCCTCTTTCCCTTTGTCTTCAAGTAAGTGTTTCCTCTCCATGTTTTTCTGGTGTAAAGTATGATGATCCAGTTAACGAATTGGCATCTGATTATTGTAATGAGCTAACTGCTGAATTCGCAAGATACATTGTGAAAATGTAGGTAATACCTTTTATTGATGGTGATCCGTGTCCTTGCTCTGTGTTGTGCCCCATAGTTATGTATTTGTATGTAACCGCTATGTGGGTGAGTATACTTGCTCTGTCATTGGTACTAGAGTCAAGATGACTACTTTACAACACACACAGGGAGCATGGGGAACAAAAGTAGTCACCCTCCAGAAGGAAGGACGGTGTCAGCACCAATTCAGAGATGATTGGAGGATCTACAGCCGAGTGATACACAAATAAGATATATTTTTGTTAAGAGTTCAGGTTCTTGAATGGATTTTTAAGATTTAACTCCTGAGTTTAGTGTCACTTTAAGTGGATGTTTGGTGAACCCCTTTTGTCTCCGGAAAAGTAAATTTCACCATCAGGTGGAATTTTCAATCAGCATTTGAAAATTCTTATCTCAAAGTGTTACTACATGAAGGAGATGGGATTTAAGCTTTTCCGGTGTAGCAACTCTGGTGTTTCTGGAAATACTGGATTAGTTATGGGCCGAGTTGGGCTTTTAAGGTTTTTTTTATTTATTCTATCCTGCTTCGCTTTGTTAAAGTATTTACATTCGCTGCAGGCTGCGTGCCCATACCACCAAATCGGCTGCAGTGCCAGTACGTAAATATTAACTTAAAGCTTGTTAGTGGCAGACCTGTTCTGCTTCTGATATACAAATATCCCTGGATTATGTTGCAGTGGTGTCACTTGTTGTAGTATGAAAGGGGCCTTACCAGTAAAGGGCTTGCTGTGAAATATTCTGTGATATAAGCTACATGCTGAACCCTGTATGTGAATTTGTTTCAGCACTGCCCCACAACAGCTCACTGTCTCTAATGACCGGAGGATTCGGCGGCTCTAGCATGCAGAAGGCTCAGTCTCTCATAGACCTGGGCTCCAGCAGGTATGAATATCTGTCAGTCTGAGTGTATTATACAATGGTGATGCTGAGGCAAGAAATCATCAGAATTTTGTGTTTGAAAATGGCTCCATGTTTTCCAATGCATTGTTCCTGCAGTAGAAGTCAGTGGATGCTTACCTCTCTGGCAGGCAGCAAGTATGAACTCTGCAAGTGCTAAAGCCTCCGACAAAGATCAGTCGGCTCTTTCTGGAGCATTGAATACCTGTGTCCCGTACCCCAGGCTTTGGTTCCCGCTGGTCCAAATGTCATTACAGGACACAAGGGGCTAGTTGGAGAGACCATTGAGTTGATCTGAAAGTGTTTGGGATTTGAAGATTCTGCTGAAGGTTAAATGTGCGAAGGCAGCAGAGTTCGGAGTTGATGACTGCTAGGGAAGGGGAACAGATGGCACCCAGGAATACAAGTCCAGTCTGTGGGGGCCCCACCTTGCAACTTACACAACTTAAAGGACCTGCTACTGATGGCTTGGTGCCAGCTACCACAGCATACCTTCAGGGTTTTAGTGGGGTCCATGCCTCAACAGTTCAGGAAAAGGGGCACCTACCCAATATTAGGCAGGTGGTCATAATGTTATGGCTGATCGGTGTATGTTCTGCATTGTGAATAGATTTTAGGTAAATGTATTTTCTTTCTCGACAATTGAGGGACAGAGGAAGTCTTAGAGCAGGGAAGAGCACAGAGATAACCTCATCAGGGTGCTCCTTTATTGTCCAACCGGAGGTTAGGGCAACAAAGTCAAATCGTTTTATTCCTCAGCAGGCATGCAGGTAGCAGTAGCACCCTCATGGGCAGTGCGACAGAGATTTCTGAATAACAAGCGGCCGGACAGACTTGTAGTATCCTGGCAGGTAAAAGAGTTCACATATTTGAACTTTATACTTGTATTGCTGTTTTGCTGGAGTCCAGTGAAAAGTGAAACTCTGATGTGTTTTGGTTTGTACTTGTGGAAGGATTACAACCTTTGTCAGGTTATTATGGCGACTTCACTTCCTCTCCTGGTGACACTCTGTGTGTCAGTGTATGACGTGGTCACTAAGACAGGAAGCGGAGACATCGCTCAGAGGAACCCTGTGCTAAAAACATTATTTTTCAGCAGTTGGAGATGTTGTTATCGTTTTATGTCCGTTTTGATAGGACAGGAAGTGAGGGATTATATATCGCCACCAATGAAGCAGATAGCAGTAAACATATTGCAGAGACTCTTGCACCTATTCAGAGCAAGTAAAAAGGACAGAAATCCAACTTCAAACATAACAATGATACAATGGGGGGAATTTATCAATACTGGAGCAGACAAAATCTGGAGCGGATTTGCACTGCAACCCATACGCTTTTCGCTCTCATTTTCAAATCTAACCTCAGCAAACTGAAGAGAGAAGCTGATTGGTTGCCATGGGCAACTGCTCCAGATTCTGTCTGCTCCAGTTTTGATCAATTCCCCCCAATATGTATAACAGGAATTGTTAAGAATAATGATGGCAGCAACACAATTATGGGCTATATGATATCACAGGAACGTTGACAAGGTATTCTGTGTAAGCCGCTGATGTTTGCACACAGTCATTTGTTTGTATGTATTAATAATTCTGGTTTGTGGTATTTATAAATGTACAATGTATTTTCTCCTCTGGTTTAGTTCTAATTCCTCGTCTACCACTTCACTGACTGGTAATTCTCCTAAGACCAGTAGCCTGGACTGGGCTGTCCCACAGGCCGCCAGGCTGAAGTACAGACAGAAGTTTAATGGTCTTGATAAAACCATGAGTGGTTACCTGACCGGTGAGTCTGACTGGTAATGTGAACAGCGTGCTATTGTTTTATTGGATCTTTTACTTCTATTTGAAATATTCTGCAATCCACCATCCCCAGTTCACTGTAGCTTTGCCACCATATAGCACTGTATGCCATAATGCAGGCGTAGACGCAGCAGTGCATGTCCCTGCAGTTCCCTTCACTATTTATGCGTGCCCCCATAACAACCCACATGGAAAGACACTGGAGCTTGGGCGTCATTGGACCTTGCACCAGGACAAGGATCCCAAGCATACCTCAAATTCCAACAAGGCTTGATTGCAGAAGAAGTCCTGGAAGATTCCACAGTGGCCATCAAAGTCACCTGACTTGAACCCTGTAGAAAATCTCTGCTGGAATTTGAAGGAGGAGGTTGCAGCATGCAAACCCAAGAAAATTAGTGAACTGGAGGTGACTGCTCATGAGGCATGGGCTAAGATTGCTCAGGAACGCTGCCAGAAGCTGGGGTCTGGCTATGCATCTCATTTCCAGAAGGTCATATCCGCAAAAGAGTGCTCTACTAAGTACTAAAGATGCTTGCCATGAAGGGGTTCTATAATTTGGGACTTCAGAAGTCATTAAAAGCTGAATTTCTAGTTGAATTTGGGGGAAAAAACTTGAAACATTCGTTGTGTTGACCTATTTCAATTGCTTTTGTTTGGTTTGTTCATTTCAAACAGCTGAAAGTATGTAAATTTTGACAAAAAACCTGATTTGCAAAGGAGGTTTGAATAGTTTAGAACAAGTATCTGTGTGTCTAGTTTACGGCTAGTTCAGCTTTTAGTAATGATGACTAAAGCAGCAGGTTTTCCTCTTATTTTATTCAAGTACCTGACTGACAAATTTGATGATGATAATATTCAAAATATTCATAATAGTTAATGTTGTTGTTAACAAAAACATCATTATCATTATTATTTATTAGTAACATTGCTGAAATGTATCTAAAACACTAAAACCTTTATGATTTAGCCCAGGATTGGGTGAAACGCGTTAGCGGGGCGGACCTGAGGCTGGACTTTGTGTAGCTGTGTGATTTCTTCATAAAAGATGTTTCCGGCGACACATGGAGTGCGTCCGGATGTTTTATTGTGTTGACGATTGCTGAAATGTATGCTGCATTTGTTTTTCAGGGTTTCAAGTGAAGAATGCACTCGTACAATCCAACCTTTCCCAGACCCAACTGGCCACTATATGGTAATATAGACATGCATGTTGTTTTCTTCTTGTGGAAGTGGGTGCTGAGCTTTCTCATGTCTTCATTTATTTTATATCATGGAGAATGTATCCGGGTTGTTTGGCTTTTTGTTAGAGGAGTGACGAGAAGGCCGAGGTTGGCAATTCACGTTTAGATTTCTCTCATTCAGCTCAGCACTGAATAGCGTGGATGGAGCGGTCTTCACTGCTGGCTATTGCATTCAGACACTTGCCCCCTGCAGTGGTCTGAATTCCAGAGAACAGTGACTGCATCTGATTGAATGCATTCGTGGTTCAGCCAGCAATTTTCCGCCTGGCTGACAGGGCTACCCATGGCATATTCCCGCCTGATTGGCCAACATTCAGACTGTGGGGGGCCAGATTTAGACAGTTGTCACCGAGATAGGATGTTTTCCCCTCTATTCCTCTTCTAGTGACAACATTTGAGATCTTCTCTCTCTTACAGTCCCAGTAACAGTGGTAATGAGGTCACTGAGAGGGTGAATCTCCCCTCAGTGGAACACAGACAGTGATTACAACTTCAAGTGCAATTTTTTTTTTTTTTTTT